TGTTTAGAACTTCAGCAGACCAAAGAGCTTGTGCGGCCTGATCAGAAATATCAATAGCATAGGACAGCAAGGGATCAAGGGGAAAAAAGTGGCAGGGTAAGGAATCAGAGAACATAGGGAATAGGAAAAAACACTAAAGAAAAAAACAAGTCAAAAGCAGCATAAGAACAGTAAAAAAGACAGTGGATAAAAAAAATAAAAATAAATCCTACAAATAATGTTATAACAGAATAGCGAGATGCTCGCAGAGAAGCATTTTATATGCACATAAGAATTCAGAGAGAGATGTTTAAAGGGCAAAATATTAAGTTCAGACAGTAGGATCAAGAGGATGCATGAGACAACAAAGAATATGACAGAAATGACATGGAAAACAGTAAATGAGACAGAAATACCAATTTGGGTCCCCATTCTACTCTAACCCTATAACCAGAATGGAAAGACTCAATGTTTGTATGATTTGCTTATTAAGTAATATACTTCAGTTGAAAAGTTTGAAACTTTTTTTTTTTTTTTTTTTACATAATGGCTAGTATGCAGCTCAGCTGGAGAGTGTTCAAGCATTCAAGAGACCCTGGTTTTAATCCCAGCACTATAAATAAATAAATAAATAAATAAATAAATAAATAAATAACTGACTGCATAATTATATAACTACCTATTTATCTATGTAACATATGCTTAATTACTTTATAACAAACCTATTTGTTTAAAGTCTCAAATTAAGAATAGTGTTTTTGTGTCCAGGTGAATCCTTTCTGCCATCTGTTGGCAGCATCTCTCTCCTTGACTAAATGTATCTAAACCCTTCTCAAGATGTCAGGAGAAAGGAGGTTGAAATCTGAAGAGGGATGGATGCACATGTATCAGTTTGATAAATTTATATTATGCTTGATGGCATTACCCACTGCAACACTTTAATTAAAACACAAGTACTTTGACTTTATTCATCACAAAACTACCCTTTCCCCCCACATTAGTACATAAAGAGACACACCTTTACATTCAATTTCAATGCTTCTACAGCTGTCTATGTTCTCCATGTGTGTGTGTGTATATATATATACACACACACACACACATATATATATATATGTATATATGTGGTGATATACAGATGGAAAGCTCTCATAGCGTAGAGTTTAATGAGACAATTGTGACCTTCCAATTATATATAAACATTGTTTAAAGTATGCAATACATTTCCTAGGTGTACAGTCACTTTTTTATTTGGCAGTTATAGAAATACATCCATGTCATAGTGCTTATTTTGGCTAAAGAGCCAATGCTATTTTTTTCTGCTACTGTAGTGTTTTATTTTTACACAAATTAATTCAGTTCTTACATTTAAGAAATAAATACATTTACTGATATCAACCAAGTAAAGCTAAAACATGGTTGTTCTCAAACTAGACCAAAACAGTGACATAACCATTAGGAACAAGGTAAAGATGTCCTTATTTCTATTTTTCACAGATAATATAAATTTTTATTAAATCTCACATACTTATATTAATCTGATTTATCCAAGTTAAAAAAAAATTGAATTCAGCCTAATTCTTACAGTCACTTTGAAATTTACAACCCAACCAATTTCTAAATACATGTGCATATTAAAATAAAAGCAAATGGGTTATAAACATATTTAAAAATTTCTGATTATGAAATTTCACAGAGAAGTACATTAAATGTTACTTTGGCATTCCTGTTTCCTAGGCTTAAAGGAACAATAAACTAATAATTCCTTTGTAATGCAAATAATAACTCTTTTGGGAATAAGTAGAAAATATTACATCTTGAGGCAAGAAACATTTGTGAATACTTTTTACAGTCATCTAACAACAAATTAATAAAACTGATTCTAAATTGATGCAAATGATTGAATGCTACTTTATGAGAAAGAGAAAGTTCTTTGGAGCTGACTATAACAGTATGAAAAACTTAGCTTTTAAAAAGTTAGTTCAATTTTGACATTTTAGTAACATATCGTTAACCTCTGGGTAAAAAGTAACTACTTTGTTAGATGTAAAAAAAAAAAAAAAAAGAAATGCAGACAAACCAAACTAGAAAAAATTTTTAAAAAGTAACATGTAAATCATCTGAACACTTATTTTTTTCTTCCAGAAAAGAGGAGGAAAAGTCATTTTCTCAGAACTGACTAATCCAAGGCCCTGTTTTAACTTACATAAAAGGGAGTGAATGAAGGGACTCATGGTGGTTAACTGTACTTTCCTGACAATACCACCAGGAGTAAGTTGATGGGTTTTACCCTGAAAGGCTTTAGACTAATTTAAGTGTTATTTTATTTTTTAAAGCATTGCCTTTGCTGCTTAATCCAGTTTTAAGGCAAATAAAAAGAGGCATGTATATCTCAGTACCCTTCTGCAGTCAGAAATATTCTTTTTAGAAAATGTTTACTTTTCAAAAAAGTCATGTTTCTTCACATACAATAGACTTTTCCTACATTTATTGCCCTGAAATTCTATTTGGTTACTCTTATCCCTTTTGTTAAAAGGCCACAAAGAAAGCTTCTTTGTAATGTTGTAGCTACAGAACTGATCAAAAACTAATCATCAAAATCAAGCACTGAATTTGAAAAATTAACCTCCTGAAGATGGGCAATTTTTTCTGATTTAATAAATTGAAATGTGAGAGAGGTGGTGGTATGGGGGAGGGGAGAGGAGAGGAGAGACCCAAATATCTCCTAGAACTCCATTCACCTTGTCTGATGAAATAAATTCCCCATGGTTATCTAATAGCAGCATTATTAAACAGTGCAATTCTTCCAAATTGAGTTCAAACAGTATCTTTCTTAAATAAAATAGTAAGTTCACTCATAGCTTTTGTTCATAAATAAAAATCATGGCATAAAACATTTAGCCTCAGTTGAGTAAATTAGTAGAAGTGATAACTGCCCTGCCCACGAGGTAATGGGAATGAACACACGCACATATGTGTATGTGTGCATCATTCAAAGCCAGTGATACCTCAACAAGAGGGTGAAAAAACTCAATACTAAATGAAAAGTAAAATGTTATATAATGGAATTTTCCATTTTCGTACTTCTAATACTCCTCCATCAGTGAGAATTATGACTAGGCAATTGTTAATTTAAAACTCTGTGTAAGAGGACTGGGGATGTAGCTCAGCAGCAGAGCATTTGCCTAGCATGTATGAGGCCCTGAGTTTGATCCCCCAAACTGAAAACAAAACAAAACTAAGACACAAAGGAGTTATATACTCAAGAACAATTAGAGTAATATTTCATATATTTAATGTTCTAACCTATACAGTACATGCAAAAATTGTATGATTCTGAATTTCATATTTTGTAATTGATTTAAATTATTGTGGCACATAAATTTTAATACTTAAAAATTATTCCTTTTCACTTTTCATTTTCTATTCATTAATCTGAAACTAGGCACTTTAATCTAAAAATGCATTTTTAAAAAATGCATTTTAGATCCTTTTGTGTAATTCACTCCTAAAATGTATAAAGACCACTTCAGGGAGCAAAAGCAACAAATTTAACCCACTGATAGAGTCAGCCACTCCAAACAAGTGGTATATGACTTAGGAACAAAATTAATGCAATTCTAAAAATATCTAATACACTCTGAAAAGCCTCACTCAAGAACAACCCACTTGTTCATACACTTGTCATAGAGGACACAGAATATACTTCCATATCATTAAAAATATTTTGTTCTTTACCAGAGGAAAAAAAAGAAAAAAAAATTCTTTAAAACCTCACCAAGATTCGGTGGGGTGCAGTATCTTATGCCTGTAATCCAGCTACTTGGGAGATTGAGACAGGAGGATCTCAAGTTCAAGGCCAGCCTCAGCAACTTAGCGAGACTCTGCCTCAAAATAAGAATATTTTTTTTAAAAAAGGGCTAGGAATGTAGCTCAGTAGTAAAGCACCCCTGAGTTCAATCCCAGCACTGCAAACAAAGAATAACAACAAAAAAACCTATGACTCAAAGTATGAACATCTTAAAAATATGGGCATACTATAACAAATTCCCAGTGTGCTGAGTCCCCTATGAGAGTAACTAAAAACTTGTTTTGTGGAAGAATAAAAGAGAAATTATTTTACTGTTACCAAGTTTGAATACCTCAGGTGTTGGGAGTCAGTCTCAAAATTACATTTATAAAGGGTATGTTTTAAATTGCTTTTCTTAGTAAACAAATGCTATCTTTTGAATCAATATTAATTCAAGAGAAAAATGTTCTAACTATTAAAAGATTAAAGTACTTCAGTCTCTGTATTGTAATTCATAGGACCAACAGTTAACATATTTTGGAAACTACAATTAATCTAACATAAAGTTACAAGTTGTAAACTTCTCAAGTGTCAATTCATCTAAATGTTTTATATTGATATTCAGTGATTACAATTTCTCTGATTGAAATACATAAACAAATGTACAGGCAATAATATAAGCAGTACACATTAAATGCCACTACTGCCTAAATTTGATCTAACAAATGAATAACTTTACAGTTAAAAAACATGTTTTCAGGCAGTTAAACATATTGACACTAGGAGTAATATATTCTTCTATGTATGGACCACAAAGGTGTTGTAATATATTCTTGCATATGTGGACCATGAAGGACTTGGCTAAAATGTATATTTTCAAGGTGCAAAGAATAAAAACAAACCTTTTAAGTATGACACTGGACATTTCTGACAGCTTGAAGATGATAAATCAATTAACTCCCAAGTATTGGCTTCAAATTAAGCAATATTCCTATAGAATTCACAATTCACAACTTAAATTACTACCTAGATTATTAAAAAGCTGCTCTGAATATACTACACAGGGATGCAAAGAATTTCTGTATAAGTACAGTACTTATTCATTCATTCTTTACTAGATTTTTTCCCCTCCCTGAGTCCACATCCACCAATTCTGTAATACATATTACAAAATCAATAGTTACCTTAAAATATTTTATACCACTCTCAAAATGTATGATTCTTATGGTACTTATTGTACTTTGGCTTCCAATAGCCCACTGGATATAACATGACCATGACCACTTAAACAGCTACTCGTGTGTCTCAGGGCATCTGCTCCAAGATAGGCCATTAAAAGTTCCATGCGGCGAATGAGTAACTGCATGAGGTCTTCAGCCAAAGTCTCTATACTTGAATAGCGCACCTTCTCAAAATCAAAAATGTCTTTGAGAAAGAAAATAACTTGATTCTGGAGAATGAACACAAAACAAATTGGCATGTATTAGACCAAAATTATATTAAATCTAAAGAGTTACTAACATTATAACTAGCATTATATCAGGAGTCAGAACATCTGAACTCCAGGGATGATTTCACATCTCATTGGAAAAGGGACCTTGAACAAGCCATGTAACCTTTTTTTGGGTCCCATTTTCTTTTTGACAGATAAATATAAGATAATACCACCCATCCAATTTACTACTCAGGGCTGATATAATGATTAAAAAGAAATCTAAGAGAAGTGCCTGCAAACCCTAAAGCATGTATAAATGTGAGGGGCTATTTATTAGCCTTTCCTTCATTGTTTCCTCTGAGTACTGGTACTACTTTAGGAGAAGAATAAACTATTTTCAATAATCATAAATAATTATTAAATGTGTATTCTTCTGTACAAAACCCCTTAAGACACAAAAAATAAAAATAAATTCAGGCCTCAAATCAGAGAAAGACCTAGAAGAATGTTTTACCTAAGTTGATACTTATTTTGAAACTTATCTCCCCCTCCCCCCAGGCCTAAGGACCAAACTTAGGCCTCAAGCATGCTAGGCAAAAACTGTGCCACCGAGCTAAATCCCTAACCCCTGACACTCATTTAAGTACATTTACTTAAATGGGTAGTATACTATTCTTTTTAATAGTATACTACTATTAAGTATACTATAAATTGTAAATTTCAATTGCAAGGTCATGATGAAAAGAAAGTAATTCCAAAGAAAAAAGCAGGAATATATAATTTATATCCTCTAGAAATCAAATATTAAGTACTAAGAAGACATATAGGTTCATTGGATTTTTATATTCACAAGGGTAATTAGCAATCAACCTGTGAAGTCCCGTCATTTTATAGACAAAAGGATTATTTTTCCCCTAAGTCAGACTGTTCATTAATGACAGATTTAATTCGCAGCTCAATTTTTTCAATTAAAATACATACATTACATCTGGGAGGGCAAGTAACCTAGTTAAAAATTAATGAGTTCTAAATGACAGTAAAATAAACATTTCCTAAATTATTTATACAAATATTGTATCAATAGCACATAAACATAGTAACTTAATTCAAAAATGAATATATAATGAAACACCCAAACTTTAAAATTCATATTCAATTATGTTTACTTTTAATTGCTCCTTGAAACTCAGCCTACACCTTATTGAATAGAGACACTCCTTTGGCACTTTGCTGAAGAGATAATTCTTCAATGAACTTTACTGTGTGTTTTGGCAAACATAATCGTCTGACATTAGGATACAACTTTAAACTCCCATGTTATTTCTCACAACTTGGATTTTATCGTTCATATCAGAACTTACTGCACTAGGAGGGGGAAAATGCTTGGAACAAATTATATTGGATAAATTGTACTGTTATATTGTGTATTGTGTACATATACAAATATGGACCATCAAATCCCATTAGCATGAACAATTATAATGCACCAATTTTTAAAAAGTGGGGAGAAAATAACTTACTGCAATAAAAATATCGCTTGTTTATAAATTTCAAGTATCTAGGCATGAAGAACAAACTACATGAATTCCACTGTAACACTGTAACACCATGCAAGACCATGACAGAAAGAATTGATAAGGCGAATGGACTCAGTGAACCTATTCTACACTAAGGCACCAAATCTATAAAGCACTGGTTCATTTTAATAACAACATTACTATAAAATGTCACTAATTCAAATTGGTCACCTGAATTTAGGTAACCTGTATAACTTCACATTTAAATAAAATTCTTTCTTCTACAAGCAAAACCAAAACAGAATAAAACCTTATCCCTTTTTAAAAAAAATATTTGTTTTTTAGTGGTAGGTGGACACAATAACCTTTATTTTATTTTTATGAGGTGCCGAGGATTGAACCCAGTGCCTCACACATGATAGGCAAGCACTCTACTGCTGAGCCACAACCCCAGCCCCCTTATCCACTTTTTGATTCACTAAAAAAGCAATAAATCAATATATCAATAACTGAACATACCTTAAAGAAGCAACATAAATCATAAAGAGAATTTCTAGGACCCAAAAAGCCCCAAGCGAGGACAGGGCTTATGTGCTCACAAATGGCATAAAAATGGGCAAAAAATCCATCTGGGATCTGTTGGGAAGTAAAAAAAGAATAGTTATTTTGTCTTGTACTTACTTCCTCTAGCAGAGAAACTGAAATTGTTATCTATTATATGATCAGCTCTTTTTGAGGGTAAGCCAAGAGTCAATCATGAGTCAGTCTATTAAAAAAATTAATAAACTTAGAAGTAACTTTCAGAGTCAAAGAGTGATTTCATATCCTAACCAGTAGTATTCCAGATATGCTGAGAAAAGTGGTTTTTCTTTCTTTCTCTCCCGAATCCCCTCTTCTCTATTTTTTGGAACTGGGGATTGAATCCTGAGGGTGCTTTACCACTGATCTAAATCCCTAGCCCTTTTTATTTTGAGAGAGGGTCTAGCTAAGTTGCAAAGGCTGGCCTTGAATTTGTGATCCTCCTGCCTCCTCCTGAGCAGCTGTGATAACAGGCATGCACCACCACACTTGGCTACATTTTAGAATATGTGAATATACATAATGAGATATCTTGGGGATAGAATGGAAGTTTATGCTTGAAATTCATTTGTACTTTATACACACCTTATAAACACAGCCTGAAAGTAAGTTTTCATAATATTTTTGGTGTACTTTCATTTTGACTGCAACCTGTCACATGAAATACATTGTGAAAATTTCTACTTGTACCATCATGTCAGCTCTCAGAAAGTTTCAATTTGAGAGCATTTTGAATTTTTCATTTTCAAATTAGGGATGCTCAATCTGTACTTCATTAAAACAAACAAACAAAACCAATCATGGGGCTGGAGTTGTGGCTCAGCATGTATGAAGCACTGGGTTCAATCCTCAGCACTATATGAAAATAAACAAATTAAATAAAGGTATTGTGTCTATCTACAACTAAAAAAAAATTTTTAAGGAAAAAATCTTTAAAAAAAAAAGAAAGCAATCATGCTGTGTTGTAAATAAGCAAAAACAAGAATGTTACAGTTCCTTAGCCATATAAACTTTAGGAGTATTCTTGAGTATTTAAAAGCCTTACTAAATCACTTAATGGTATTAATGAAAAAGATTAAAAAGAGTTCAAATGATTAGTTATTAAGTTATTTTTACTAGAATCCTAACCTTTAGTTAAGAAATCCAATATTAAAAATTGAATTGTGTAATTGGTTCTTCTTATGAACTATCAATACATATGTTTATGTTTTAGGAAACTGTTTATTAATAACTTTCTGAATGTCCTTTGTTAAATATCATCCTGTGGGATCTGTCATAAAGCACTGATTGGGATAATTATGCCTTAAGATTTTGTCTTTTGGGGCTGGGGTTGTGGCTCAGTGGTGGAGTGCTCGCCTTGCACGTGCGGGACCCTCGGTTCGATCCTCAGCACCACATACAAAAATAAACAAGTGAAATAAAGGTGTTGTGTCCAACTACAACTAAAAAATAAATATTAAAAAAATTCTGTCTTTTGGAGGAGTTGTTTTTTTATTTTACAGTCTCCAGGACAATCTTTTAAACCTCAGTTTAAAAAACATGACAGCAGCAGTTATAATTTAACAAAGAGTACCCACTGTATTCTGGATAGTATGCTACATTCTAGTTAGTTTGCTAAAACATTCTTGGCAAAACAGATCATGTTACCATCATTGTAAGTATGTGAAAAGTGATATTTGGGATGTTAAACAACCAGCTACAGCATACCAGCTAGCTAGTGGTGAAGGATGGAAAGTTATCAGGCATTTACTGAGTTTATTCTAGTCTAAAACATGTTCTACATATATTAAAATTCTAAATGATACAGACTCAAGTGTTTTAGGAGTTCGAGAAGTGAGAAATTAGTGTGGGCTCAAACAGAAAAGATTCACTTTGGCAAGGAACATTGAGAGCCGAACTCAATAGTAGATTAGATTTATTTAAGTATAAAGGGAAGTTTTACATTCCATACATAGAAAATAGTTCTTCCAAAGGTGAGATTTATAGGTATTTGTGGATATTGAAAGAAGACTAGAATGAAGCATAGTATTTACTCTAAGAAGTAGGAAACAGGGCTGGTGATGTAGTGCAGTGGTTGAGTACTTGCCTAGCAAGTGTGAGTTCCTGGGCTCAATCCCCAGTACTGGATTGGAGGGAAAGGAGGAGAAAACAGAACTATTGGTAATGATGCTATTACTATCATTATGGAAACTGTTGCTTATTAAAATCTTTTAAGATTACTTTTAACTTTATGTTTAAATTAAATTTGTTATATCATTGATATTATCTCATTTCATACTGACAGTAGTTTTAAAAAGTAGACATTAACTCCATTTTGCAAATGGGAAAACTGAAGGTCAGCTAATGGTTGGTATTTGCCATGATTGTGCTAGCTAGTATGAGAATCACAGTCTACAAAAATCTGTTTTCTAGTGCTAAACCAGTTTCAAACATTATCATTTATAATAATCATTTAGGAAACACGTTATGATTTGAATGTGAGGTATCCCCTCAAAAGCTCCTGTGTTACTGTAGGAATGTTTAGAAGTGAAATAATTAAGACTGTGAGAGCTGTCACCTAATCAGTCTCACCGTAGTTTGAATGGACTAACGAGGTGGTAACTGTAAACAGGTGGGGCATGGCTGGAGGAAATAGGTCACTGGGGTATGTCCTAAAGGGTGCATGTTCCCTGTGGGGCCCGTACCCCAATCTTCCTAATCCCACCTTGAGCTAGGTCCTTCCCTGATAATGTCTAAAAGATGTCTCTGCCTCATCTTAGGCCCAGAGAAATGGAGTTGGCCATCTATGTACTGAGACCACTGAAATTGTGAGCCCCAAATAAACTTTCCCTCCTCTAAGTTATTCTTATTGGGTACTTTGGTAACAACACAAAAGATGACAAATGGACTAATGCAGAACCTGTTTAAAATATAGGGCTTCTGGAAAAATCTGAAATAAGAATTATTCAAATATAGGGTCTCTGGAATTCTTTCTTTGGTGGTGCTGGGGATTGAATTCAGGGCCTTGCACCTGAGCTACAATTCCACCCCCAACTAAAATTATTTCTAACAGCACGTATTGAAGATACTGTGAGGATTACATTCCTGGCATTATCAATTATTAATAAATACTGAATTAAAAATATGGATGATAAAATATTATAGGTCCTTGAGCAAATAATATAGAAATGGGCAATATTTGCATAATGCACTATGCTAAGCACTATTGAGCACTTTACATTGTATATTCACAACAAATCCCATGAGGAACTGGGTGTGGTAGCACACTTTTTGATTCCAGCTTCTTGGGAGGTTGAGGAAGGAGGATAACCAAGTTGGAAGTCAGCCTTAGCAACATAACTAGATTCTGTCTCAACAAAACAAAACAAAAAACAATCCTATGAGGTAGATACTATTATTATCCTCTTTTTAGAGACAAGGGAATTGAGGCACACAGAGGTTAAGCAACTTGCCCAAGGTCACATTGTTAATAAGTAGCATCTGAATCTCATTTCAGAGTTTATGTCTTTAGTCACCAGTACTGTATGGTGAGAGCAATATATGTAGTGGATGAAATGGGCTACAAACTTTTGAGACTTTTGGGGTAAGTACCTAGAACTAAATAAAGCAGCTATTAGAATCAAATCATTAATTCTCAGTTGGATTATATGAAGGAGAGACCACTATATTACTAATTTTTAAAAATAATATCATTAAACTAAAAAAAAAAAAACATAAAAGCCCTATTAGAGCTATTCTAACCCTAAATATCTTTAGTTGAAATCTCACATATGCCTCAATACTTGCTATACTGAATTATACAGAACATTAAGGAAAAGGGAGAAGGCATTCAAAAAAAGGACCCAGTACCAATAAGTCACTCATCAAGCTTGAGGGATAGTCCCTATTATTAGCTGCCTTCCTTATATGAGAACTGACATATTTTATTGATAAGATCCTCAAATTGTTTCACAAAATAGCTGCTATGGTTTGTCCCCACCAAATTCATGTTGTGGTTTGGTTCTTAATGCAGCAGTGCTGGGAGGTAAGGCCTAATGGGAGGTTCCTTGGTCATGGAGGTGCTGCCCATGTGATGGATTAGTGCCTTTCTCAAGTCTAGTCAGACTGCATTAATTATCATGAGAACATACTATTATAAAGTAAGGCTGTCCCTGGTGTTTTGCCTCTTCCCTATGGGCCTGCATGTTCTGCTTTCCATCCTGAGTTGAAGCATCTCACCAGCATAGCTGGCAGATCTTAGACTTACCATTTCAGAACCATGAACTGAATAAACTTCTTTCCTTACAAATTAGTGAGTCTCAGGTATTCTGTTTTAGCAACAGAAAATGCACTAAGACAGGAAATTAGGGAATAATGGGTTTTACCTTCATCTGTTCCCTTTTCTGTTTCAGCACTGACCAACAACTTGAAGCCACAGCCTAAATACATGCAGAAGAGAAAGACAAGATTAAATTTATAGCTACACCAACATTTCCTTTTAGAAAAGGGTGATTTTTATTATAATTCAAAGTTCAGGGTAATAAAATGTCCCATTTATAATTTCTTATTTAGTCCAGGTTCCTTATATTGCTTGTAAACTTTAATAAAAAGATACTTCATTTTTACAAATTTAAAATTTAAATATATAACCCCTAAAGAAAAAAGGTTTAATCTGATGCTTCAATTACAATTAAATTCTTAAGAGTTCTTATCTTATATTCTGAGGGGAAAAATGAAAATATATGTGTATAGATGCACATACATAAACAAATGTTCCATGTGTAAAAATGAAACAAAGTAGTACTTTTTCCTTCAAAAAAAGGAAATATTTGTGAGTAAACATTTTTATTTAAGAAGTATGAAATTATAACCATGATAGGACAACAAATAAATAAATAAATAAAATAAACTTATACAGCACATTCTGAAGAATTCTGACTCTACTCTTGCATGACCTAACTTTGATGAAGGTCACTTTACCAAACAAATTCCAGAAATGAAGAACACATACTTCCTATGATTAAAAAAATTTAAATCAGAAGAAGGTAGATTTATAAAAATACTTCAAAAACTAAAAATACTTTAAAACTTAATATGAAGGTTAGGGTTGTAATTCAGTGGGAGACTACATTATCTACCATGCACAAGGCCCTGGGTTCAATCCCCAACACAAAAATGAATAATGAGGAAATTTCAAAATAATTGTGAAACTGCCAATAGGAACTAACTTACTTCTAGATGCATATTTAAAGCCCATCAAAAATCAAGGTCAGAGAATTAAATATAATAAACAGACTGAGAATATTCAAAGTATAAAATATGGCTTGAGCCTATCTTATTTTTACAGCTGCCAATTTTTTCTCTCATAATTTTCTTTCTTTCTCTATTTTTCTGCTCCCCCCACCCTCTACCTTGTACTGGGGATTGAAATTGGGCACTTTATCACTAAACTATATCTCCAGATCTTTTTATTTTATTTTATTTTTGGTACCAGGGATTGAACCCAGGAGCACTTAACCACTGAGCCACATCCCCAGCCCTATTTTGTATTTTATTTAAAGCCAGGGTTTCACTGAGTTGCTTAGCACCTTGTTTTTGCTGAGGCTGGCTTTGAACTCAAGATCCTCCTGTTTCAGTTTCCCAAGCCACTGGGATTACAGGCATGTGCACTGTGCCCAGCCCAGGCCTTTTTATTTTTAGACAGTCTCATTAAGGTGCTGAGGCTGACTTCAAACTTGTCATCCTTCTGCCACTGCCTCCTCATTTGCTGGGATTACAGGCTTGTGCCATCATAACCAGCTTCTCCAAACTTTTGATAATATTTAGGAATATAAATATCTCTATTTTCCTCTTAAAAATATACATTGTCATTTAAAAAAACTATAACTTCCATATTTTAGTCTAGTCTTTCAGCCATTTGCATTACAGATGATTTTTTTTGTTAGGCCTGAACTATCTGAAGTCTGAGTTTCTTTAGAGATCTGAAGAAATATGAGGTTTACCAGATCAAGGCTAGGACTGGTAAAAGGGTCAAAAGGAGAAACTCATCTGAAGGTGTGATATATATATACATATCTGATTCTACTATCAGAGAATGAGCTCAGTTTCCACGGTAGTCATTCCACAGGCAGATATATATATGTAAATTTTATTGTTTTCCTCAGTTCTGATCATTTTCTTATAAAATTTAAATGGCTAAGAAAGGAAAATCACCACTTACAGTTTCTTTTTTTTAAAAAAAGTATTTATTTTTTAGGTTTTTTAGGTAGTCACAATATCTTTATTTTATTTTTATGTGGTGCTGAGGATCAAACCCAGTGCCTCATGCATGCCAGGCAAGCTCGCTACCACTTGAGCTACATCCCTAACTCCACTTACAGTTTCTTTGAAGGAAGAGTTCAGCCAGCGATTATTTACTACATTCTGTATGGATGTTGGTGGGTTTTCTAGGTCTTCAAAAGAATCCATTAATATAAAATCCAGAACAACATCATAAAAATTTAGATTTTTCACCTGCATTACATTGGGAATTAAAACATAAATTATTATTACAGAGAGATGGAATAAAGTCTGAGTCAAGGTTTCATACTTGGGTAACAGCAAGGTTTTCTGTTTTCTGAGTCAAATCTGATTGTATTTCTCACAGAGATGAAGAGAAGAGTTAAATATGAAATATCACCCCCAGAAATTACAATTCACATGGAAGCTGCTCCTTCCTGGATCTCATCAAGTACAATTAATTTCTCATTACTCTTTATTTTATGAGTCCTTTTCAGGCTTCCATTAGATCATCCATAATGTTCATTCTACTTTGTTACTTAGTTATTGGTATATCTACTTATCTTCCCACCAGATCACAAACCTCCTGATTTTCATTCCTTCATATAGATTGTTATATAACATATGCTAGACTAAGTGCTTAGACTTCTACAGTAAGCAAACTGATGCCTTTTGTCTAGTCGGGAAAACAGCAACAAAATAATCTCACAAACATCCAATGACAAACTCTGACAAGCACAATAAATGAGAAAGTACATGAGAGTCAAAAATGGAGATTTTGATTTTAAGCTGGATGCCAGACAGAGCTTTTCTTGGGGAATGAGGCTTCCCAGGTAGAAAAAATTCTTATCAGAGACTTTAAGGTGAGAAGGAACAAAATGGTGTTGAATTGAAAGAAATCATTGAAAGAATGGTGTAGCACTCTACAAGAGAGTGGCAAGATCCAAGAATGAAAGGCTGGATCCTGCAGGGATTTATGGCCCATGTGAATGAGATTCCATTTCATTCTCACAATATTTGGGGTACAGGATGGGATTGGGGATGATAGAAGAGAGAGACCCATGATTGATTGATTGATTGATTGATTGTACTCGTGATCTAACCCGGGGTGCTTAACCACTGAGCCACATCCCCATCACTTTTTATTTATTTATTTTGAGACAGGGTCTTACTACGTGGCTTAGGACCTTGCTAAGTTGCTGAGGCTGGCTTTGAATTTGTGATCCTCCTGCTTCAGCCTCCTGAGTCACTGGGAGTACAGGTATGCACCACCACACCCAGCTCCAACTGTATTTTTTAAAGATCATTTTGGTGACAGTGTAGAAAGTGGAACAGAGAATGGAAAGAGTAAAGTGGTGGTGGGAGTTGGGGGCTAGGCAGGGAATCAGGGAACACAAAAGATTCTGAGGTGGGTCAGAAGAAAGGTAACAGACACTTAGGCCAAGATAGTAGAGACAGAAATAGAGAAAAGTTGAAGAAATTAAAATATATTTAAGAGATAAAATTGACAAAACTTAGAGATGAATATGAAAAAGTGGGAGAGGACCAGGGAAGGGTAAAGGATGAGACTGAGGTTTCTGGCTTATAGAACAGAAAGGATACTGATCCCATTCATTGAATAAAGGAACACTATAGAAGGAAAAATTATGCCTCTATGTTATAAACCTGTTTTTTCCTGCTTAGAATGCCTTTTGGTGCCTTTTAAATTCATTCTTTAAGCTACTACAACAAGATGCTCCAGGCTTATCATGTGCTCTTTCTGTCTCAGCACTGAAATAAGTTATTTTCCCAAGGAGTCCTATTTTGTTTTTAGTGGAATGTGGTCATTAGAAATCCAAGATCTGTGTGCCGAGAATAATTTTTTTTTTTTGTAATATTGTTGCTTCCAGATCCTCTCAATGGACAGGGCTAGGAAATATTGTTTATGTACATGCAAATTTTTCTATTTATATTTATTTCTACAATAATATATATTAGAATCTATAAATTCACACTGATAGCTCCAATTCTAATCTTGACTTTTTATACCTTCCTTCTCCAACAGTAAGAATCTGCCTCTGATTCTTCTCAATAAATTTATTTGTTCAATTCTTGTAACCAATCCCCAGCTCCACTGAGCAGACTATTGTCTTATCTGAAACCACTTGCATAGGACACCATTACTGCCTTGCTGGAGATTGCCAACTGACTTTTAGATGGAAAGAAGGTAGAAAAGAAAGGAGGAAGGAAAGAGGGGTGAATAGAGGAAACGAAGGTTTTTTAAAAGTTGTTTACCACAATTGGCCCAAGTATAAAAAAGTACAGTTTCTATTGTTTATGACTCTGTCAGAACACTGCCCTACCACCACAAAATTGGTTTTACTATCACTTAACAATGAAACAAAGGCCTCAACTCATATAAACATGCACAAATAATGAAGAAAAGTTTAGAAATTATAAAAATTTTGAATTTACCCCTCTGGCAGCAAGTTCCATTTCAGTACTAGCCCAGTGATCAGTTTGCTCTAAAAAATACATCATTTCATCAAAAACATCTTCAAACTTCTTTGGATTCTGCAGATGAAAACACATTTTAATCCTAAACTCAAGCCTACAAAATAAATAAGTTACTTTTCAAGTAAGTTTGCTGAATCTTAATTATTTTAAGTAACTGAATTGAAATAATTTTTCAAGGTATGCACATTTATTTCATTTACTATTTTGTTTTTCTAATATTTTTCAGAAGTCAAGAATGAGAATGGTAATAAAAAGTCAAATCAAACTGTTTATTACTCAAATATGTATGCCTATTTTGGTCAGTCTTTAAGATGAAAATATGTTTTAGCAGCCATTATGAGATGCTTTTGTGGTTCCTCTCGTTTTGGAAGAACTCAAGTTCAAATCCCTGGTTTTATCTGCTATGAGAAGGCCAAGAAAGAACACAAGATTTACACTGGGAATTACAAGTAGTTAATATCACCTTATGTTTACTTAATACTTAACCAAGTACATGCAAATGATTCAAGGAAGGCCCTTTTTATTTTATTTTTCTCTCATCATCTAGACAAACTGCATAAAATAAAGTGATTCCTTATAGTCTGAATGAAGTTCTGTCCTTGTATCTACTTTATTCAGTCCTATGAAGATAAGTAAGAGGCATTTCTATTTGTATTCCAGATTTCTGAATATTCTGTCCTTTAACCTTCTTCCTGAACAGGATTAAGGAAGGTAAAAGAAGAGGTATTATTAGTCATAATAACAGTGGTGGCTATAATAGCAGATCTAATGATGATCTTACCATGACAATCACAAACTTTATGGCAAATTGGGAATAATTCATGCAAAACAACTTAGTCAAAAAAGTATGGATATTATACATAGGAAATAACAACCCAAGTAGAAATCAATGTTCTTTGGATGATGATGATGATGATGATGATGATGATTTTACTATTATTTTGAGGTGCTGGGGATTGAACCTAGGTAAGCATCTTGGGTAAGTACTTATCATTTAGCTACTTTCACACTCCTTTTTGAGACAGTGTCTCACTAAATTGTCCAGGCTGGTCGCAAACTTGAGGTCTTCCTGCCTCAGCTTCTAAAGCAGCTGGGATTACAGGCATGAGCCACCGTGTCCAGTTTAGATGATGATGATGATGATGATGATGATGATGATGATGATGATAATTTTGTGGTACTGGGGATTCAATCCAGGGATGCTCTGCCACTGAGCTATATCCCTAGTTTTTTTTCTTTTTCTTTTTTTTTTTTTAGTACCAGGGGTTGAACCCAGGTGTGCTTAACTACTGAGCCACATCCCTAGCCATTTTATTTTTTCATTTTGAGACAAGTTCTCACTAAGTTGCCCGGGCTGGCCTTGCAATCCTCTTCCCTCAGTTTCCCCAGTTGCTGGGATTATAGATTTGTGTCACTATGCACAGCTTGGCTTAGATTATTATTTTTTGGGGGGAGTACTAGGGATTGAACTCAGGGGCACTCGACCACCAGCCACATCCCCAGCCCTATATTATATTTAATTTACAGACAGGGTCTCACTGAGTTGCTTAGTGTCTTGCTATTGCTAAGGCTGGCTTTGAACTCACATTCCTCCTGCCTCAGCCTCCTAAGCCGCTGAGATTACAGGCGTGCTCCACCGCAACCAGCTTTAGATTATTATTATTTTTAAAAATATTTTTGAGTTGTTGATGTACCTTTATTTTTTATTTATTTGTATGTGGTGCTAAGGATTGAACCCAGTGCCTCATATATGATAGGCAAGTGCTCTGCGACTGAGCTACAACCCCAGCCCCTAGATTATTTTTAATATGTGAACCTTTGCAACTATCTACAAAAACTTTTCAACCATTAAAAAACTAATGTACTTTAATCTTCAGTTAAATGAAAATAATAATAAAAAAACTTGCTAGCAAAAGAAGTTTACCTTTCGTGCTTTCACAATTAAAGCTGACAAAATTTTCCTTCCACTCTCTGCAAGGAATATCCTGTTGGCTGTTTCTGAAAGAATCACCTGAAAAAATATCCATCCCAAACAAAGTAAAAAGAGACCTATAATAAAATTGGACATCCAACTTTATAGCACATCCACACATAAATAACCTTAATATAGCTAATACATTACATTTACTAAATTAAAAAAGTCCACATTTACTAAAATAAAAAGCTCTTTGAGACCTATGAACAAAAAAAATATTAAAGGGAGATAAATCTGAAATTAGATTTTGTTCAATATAATCAAAAAGTCTAAAATAAATTTATACAGTCCCCAAATATAAGATTTCATTTCTTTTTAGAAAATGACTTTTAAAAACCCTAAAATACAAACCAATTGATAATAACAAGGATGATTTTTAAACAGCCTCAACCCTTTTTGAGCAGTATCGGGGGACTGAACTCAGGGGTTCACTGAGCTACAAGCTCAGCTTTTTTTGAGGGAATTAGGTACTGGGGATTTAACCCAGGGGTGCTTTACCACTGTGCTATATCCCCCAGCCCTTTTTATTTTTTATTTTGAGACAGAGTCTTGCTAAATTACTGAGGCTGGCCTCAAACTTGGGATACTCTTGCCTCAACTTCCTGGGTTGTTAGGATTACAGGTGTTCACCACCATGCCCAGCTCTTAAGCAGTCATTTTTAGATACTTATAGAATCAAAATACTATTACTGATTTGACAAAGTGCAGTGGACCTGGGAAGCCACAGAAAAGTACAATGACAAATGGAAACCAAGTAGCAGGGAGGAAAAATATACCCTAGTAAGCTTTATATCAAAAGGGTGAAGATGAGTGGTAGGTAAAGTCACTTAATGTTTGAAAAAATACCTGAAAAGCCTGTCGAATACAATGAAGTTTGGCAAGAAAATCACTGTCTCCCAGGCACTCCAACATTTCAGTTCTGTGTAATAAATAGGGAAGACAACTGTTAAACTTCATTCAAGGTCAAGCTGAGTACAAATATGAACTCAAACAAGGCTAAACCTCAGGACCTCAACATAAAATATATATCTTCCCTATACTGACAGAACATGTGAAAGAACTTCTTTTCTACCTGGACCGAAAACATTTTTCTTTATTCTCATAAACATAGTTTCAGTAAATACCACACAAACATAGTAACAGCAACTTAATATTTTCCATAAACAGACACTAAACAGGAGAGGTACCTCAGTACTCTGGAGTAAATTTTTCCTTCTTCAACTAAATGCATGGCTTCTTCATAAAAAGGGCAGCGGCAAAAAGATTCCAGGCTGTAGGTATGCCGTATTTCTCTGTGTTCTGCAAGCTAGGAATACAGTGTTAACACAGTTGACACTGATATAACAGGAGGAACTAAAAGAAAAAAATGGGATTTCCCTATTATCAAAATACACTAAATTTGATTAAAACAAAATCTTCACTAACATTTTATAGCTAATAAAACCTAATTTACTTCAAAATTCAGTTGTTCAGGAGTAAAATTTTGTTAAGAAGCTTCGTTCATTTTGAATCCAAACATTTAAATTCACAGGGTACATAAATAAGCAACATCTTATTATTTATCAATAATAATAACTGAACAGGATGCATTAGAAAAAGAGAGAGAAGCTAGGTGTGGTAGTTCATTGCCTGTAGTTCAAGTTACTTGGGAGATTGAGGCAGGATGCAGGAGGATCATAAGTTTGACCACAGCCTGGGCAATTTAGCAAAACTCTGTCTCAAAATACAATAAAAAGGGTTGGCTCAGTGGTAGAGCATTTGTCTAACATGTGCAAAGCCTGGGTTCAATCCCCAGTAGTGTTGAGAGAGAGACAGAGAGAAGGATGAGGAGGAGGAGGAGAAGGATTTTTATCATCCAAAGAGTACTTAAAAGTATAACTCATGAAGCAAAACTTTCTACAAAAACATGGAAATAAGCTTGACTTGGCTATTCTAAGAAATTCTGCCTTATATTTAGCTTTGATTAAACTTTGTGTAACTCAAAGTCATGTTCTTCTGGCTAGCAAAACAACTCTACAAATTCCAGCCTTCTGACAGTTCATTTAAAAAATAACTGCAAATACTATAGAGGAGCCAACTTAACAAAAACCCTCTAGAGTAATTTTATTTTTCAATATGAAGTGATCCATTTAATGATACACTGCACTTTTTTCCCCCTTGTGTTACTGGGGAATCCAGGGTCTTGCCCATGCTAGGCAAGTGCTCTCTCACTAAGCTACATTCCCATTCCCAATCTCCCCATTGTTTTTTATTTTTTTTGTTTTGTTTTGGGGGGGTGATACTGGGGATCAGCTCTTTACCAGTGAGCTACATCCCCAATCCTCTTTTTTTTTTGAGACAAATTACCAAGGCTGGCTTTCAACTTGTGATCCTCCTGCCTCTGTCTTTCAAGTAGCTGGGATTACAAGTGTGCACCATCATGCCTGGCCCCAGCCCTTTTGATTTTATTTTGAGACAGGTTTTGCTATATTTCCCAGGCTGCCTCAAAGTCACAATCTTCTACCTTGTCTCCTATGTAGGTGGGATTACAGGTATGTATCACTGTGTCTAGCTACATTTTCTTTTAAATAATAGTTTTACTGAGATACAATTCACATATCACAAAATTCACCCTTTTAAAGCATACAACTCAGTGCTTTTGGTATATTCAGAGTTATGCAACAAGCACTATTTTCTAATTTGAGAACATTTTTATCACTCCACCAAGAAACCCCCTACCTTTCAGTAATCTCTCTCAATCCTATATCTCTCAATCCCTATATCCTGGAAACCACTATCTATTTGCAGGCTCTATGGAGTTCCCTACTCCATATAAATGAAATCAAACAATATGTGTCCTTTTGTGTCTGGCTTCTTTCACTTAGCATAATGTTTTCAAGGTTCAATCATGATGTAGCCTATATTAGTACTTCACTTGTTTTTATAGCTGAATAAAATCCCATTGTATGAATGTATACCATATTTTGTTTATCCATTCCTCACAACTGATGGACATTTGTTTTAAAATTTTGGCTATCATGAGTATAGCTGCTATGAATATTTGTGTATAAAGTTTTGTGTAGATAGATGTTTTCAATTCTCCTGGTATACCCCTAGGAATGAGAGGGTCAGATGGTTACTTTGTTTTACTTTTTAGGGAACTTCCAGACTATCTTACAGTGGCTGCCCATTTTCTAATATGATCAGCAATGTAACAGACTTCATATTTTTACTTATTTTTAATAACAACTCTTCTTGTCCATCTTTTTGAATACATCTACCAGAGTGGATGTGAATTGATCTGAATTCTCAAATAACTAATGATGCTAAATATTTTTTCATTTTTATAGACCATTTGTATATTTTCTTTTGAGAAAGTCTATTTAATCGCTTTGCCTTTTTAAAAAATTATTTTATTTTTTGGTACTGAGGATTAATTCCAGGAGCACTCTCCCACTGAACTACCCACCTTAGCCCTTTTTTATTTTGAGATAGAGTCTTGTCGAATATCTCAAGCTGGGCTTGAACTTGTGATCCTCTTACCTCAGTCTCCCAAGTAGCTGGGATTTATAGGCAAGCACCACCTGGATGCTTTTTTTTTTTTTTGGTACTGAAGATTGAACCCAGGAGCCCTTTACCGCTGAACCATATCCCCAGCCCATTTTTTATTTTGAGACAGAGTCTAACTAAGTTGCTGAGGGTCTTATTAAGTTGCTCAGGCTGGCTTTGAACTTGTGATACTCATGTTTCAGCCTCCCAAATCACTGGGATTACAGGCGTGCACCACCACATCTGGCCTGGATGCCCATTTTTAAATTGGGTTATTTATTCATTTATTATTGAGTTATAAAATTTCTTTACACATTCTAAATACAAACTCTTGTCAGAGAAATTAGGCAAGAGAAAGAAAATAAAAAGGATAAAAATAGGAATGGAAGAAGTCAAATTATTACTGTTAGCAGATGATATAATCCTATACTTGGAAGATCAAAAAAACGCCACCAAAAGATTGCTAGTGCTAATAAATTCATCAAAGTAGCAGGTTGCAAAATCAACATATGAAAACCAGTAACTTTTCTAAATACCAGTAATGAATCTGCTGAGAAAAAAATCAGGAAAACAATTCCATTCACAATAGCTGCAAACAGAACAAAACAAAACAAAACAAAACACTAAAATAACACAATTTAGGAATAAATCTAACCAAGGAGGTGAAATACCTCTACAATGAAAACAACAGAACGCTAAAGAAAGAAATTGAAGAGGACCTCAGATGGAAATACCTCCCATGTTCACAGATAAGCAGAATTAATACTGTTAAAATGGCCACATTACCAAAAGCAATATATAGATTCAAGGCAATTCCCATTAAAATACTAATGACATTCTTCAGAGAACTAGAAAAAACAGTCCTAAATACAAGCTCTTTATCAGATATATAATTTACAAATATTTTCTCCTATTCTGTTATCTTTACACTTTTTGTTGGTGTCCTTTGAGGCACAAAAGTTCAATTTTAATAAAGTCTAATTAATCAATATTTTTTTTCTTTTGTATGACTTAAGTTATATTTCCTGATTGTACAGAATATCAAGGTCAGCCAGAGGTGAGGGACTAGGGATGTCTATGTTTCTTCCTAGCTGTGTGCATAGCACTATATGTGCATGTGACTTTCTGGATTTCCAGGAATATGATGGAGTTTTCCAAAGCCTCTTTTGAACATCTCATTGCCCAGTTTTTCCTTTTAAGGTTCTTAGTGAGTTTCTCTTTTGCTCCATCTGGTATTATCACTTCAGGTACCTGTGATGGTAAACAACTGCCACTGATTCTTTTTAAAAAGGGACTTTGTGCACAGAGTGAACTCCAAATTAGGTCACATAAAGATAAGACCTGAGAATGGAATTAGCAAGGAGCTGCTATAGAGGTCCGACTGTCAGTTCTCTAGGGATGGGTCTTTCGGGAAGTGTCAATGCCCTTAAGTTCCTTCCAGTGGCTGCCAGACTGTTTTTCCCAACCATAATTACAATATTTGGTTTTCAACACTACCACAGATAGAAAGAGAGAGATAGGAACTGAGCAGAATAAAAATGTACAAAGCTCTTATAAGAAGTCTACCATTTTTCTTAAATAAATACTCTGAAATTTTGCTAGTCTATTCTCAGTTTTTAGGTTTTTTTTTTTTGTTTTGTTTTGTTTAGTACCAGGGATTGAACCCAGGGATACTTAACCACTGAGCCACATAACTAGTCCATTTTTTATTTTGAGACAAGTTCTTGCTAAATTATTGCTTAGAGTCTTGCTAAGTTGCTGAGGCTGGCTTTGAACTCATGATCCTTCTGCCTCAGCCTCCCAAGTTGCTGGATTTACAGGTGTTGTGCTCCATTGCACCCGGCCTGTTTTTGGAGTTCTGAAAATTTTGATTTTGATAATTTTGATTTTGGGGTTTGTGAAGGAGATTATTAGACATTTTCTTTTCTTTCTTTCTTCCTTTTTTTTTTGAGGTGCTGCTAGGTGCATGTTTATTTTAGGGATAATAAAAATATTCTGGAATTAAAATGTAGCATTGTTTGCACAACTCTGTGAATATACTAAAAATCATTGAACTGTACACTTCAAGAGGCTGCATTAATTGGCATGTGACTTACATCTCTATGAAGCTATTATATAAAAAAAGAAGAAAAGACTTTTTTTTTTTTTTTTTTTGAAAGCCAAGTGTCTGCTATACTTTAGAAAAGAAAGACTTTTCAACTGTGGTTACAAATCAATGTTCAGCAAAGCTTATATAGGGAAATCTTATTAATCAGTTTCACAAATGATTGACAAGCTTAGAGAAAAGCTTATGTGCAGAACTATTTTAAACAGGCAAGAAATCTTTCTGCTAATTCTTCCCATCCCCTTGTGCTGTGGACTGAATCAAGTGCCTTGTGCATGCAAGTACTCTACAACTGAGCTATGCCATCCAGTTCTTTCTGATAACTCTGCATAAAATTCTTATATGCTCAAACGCTGTTTTACTTCCCAAAGATTTTTGATCTTATTTTCTTAATAACCTTCCCCATTATAACAGTTTTCCCTAATTAAGTGCTTCACATATAGTAAATGTAATTTAAAATAATTTAACGAACATTTCTTATAACATAAAAAAATTTAATTTGGAACATTTGTATTCAGAGATCATACTTTTATTCCCTTCTAGCACTCCTAGGATGTTTCTTGGATACTGAGTTCTTCTTATGTATATTCATACATTTTGTTTTCCATGAGAATTGTTTTAAGTGTACTTAACTACCAAACTTAGTGGCTTATGCCTGCCTGTTATACTGTCATGTACAACTAATTAGAACAAATAAATTTTTTAAAAATGAAAATAATTCAGGAGGTGACACTGTTAGTAATGGTTAAAATACACAGAAAAATCTTTAAAGGATGAAAAAGACTGTAGGACTGGGGTTGTAGCTCAGTGGTAGAGTGCTCACCTAGCATGTATGAGGCACTCCGCTTAAATCTCAGCACCACACATAAATAAACAAATAAGGGCCCATTGACAACTAAAAAAAAAAAAAGAAAAAGAAAAAGAAAGAAAGAGACTGTAGATTAGTACTGCTTTAAAAAAGGGAGAATCAAGGTTTAGGACACAAAGTAAATTCTCACATCATTGAAGATACATAATACAGTTTAAATGAAAAAAGACAATACCACAAATCTCATAAAAATGCAGATATTATGAGGTAAAACTGGTAATATGTGATTTTTAAAAATATTTATTTTTTGGTTGTAACTGGACACAATATATTTATTTTATTTATTTTTATGTGGTCCTGAGGATCCAACCCAGGGCCTCCCATGTGCTAGGGGAACACCCTATAGCTGAGCCACAATCCCAGCCCCTTATATTGTTTTAAGGTTAAAAAATTATAAAAAGCTGACCTCTTTACAAGAGGTCTCAGTAGAAAATAAATGACCCACACATTTATGGGTGTTCAATGATCACCAACATTTACACATTAGTGAATTTATATCTAGCTTTATTCCTGTGCCTATATATTTGTATAATATACCACATTTTTCTTTTTACAAAATTATAATCATATGCTCTATATAAAACTTTCCATACTTTTCACTTAAGATATATTACCATGCTATTAAAAGTTATCAAAAACATTTATGGCTGAAAATATTTCAAGTAATAGATATCCACTATTGGGCATTGTATTGCTTTCAGTTTTTCATTATTATTAAAATGTCAGTGAACATTTTTATACACACATCTTTGAATCTGATCACTTCCTTGGATCAAATATCTACAAGTATTATTTGTGAACTAAAAAAAATCTGAATTTTTAAAAACTTTTTAAATAAGATGAAAATTGTTTTCCATTAAGATAACTTCATATGTCTCAGCCTATGAAAGTGCTCATTTAGAGAATGTGTTTATACAACCACCTCCTTATAGAGACTATAAGATCCTGTGGGAGTTTATATCCCTGTATCCTGGTATCCCCCATATTAATAAATGGTGCTAGATAAATGGTAACCAAAATGAAATTATAGTACAATGGAAAAATTGTACTCTTGCTGAAAAAGAAAGAAAAATTTTCACTAAGAATATTTAGGAATATACATGTCCTTCCTACCTCTGCTACCGAAGCAAAGGAATCAGTTGATGCAACGCTGGAAGTGTCTCGCAGGCCAAAGTCATCCACGTTTCCCTTTACAGTAGTGTCTGTATCTTTGTCTTAAAAGTGAAAAAGGTGAAAAGTTCAGAAATGAATAGATACACTTTGTCTCTGCCATATTTCACTTTTCATAGTTTTCTCCCACTCATTTTTATTTAGACTACTAGAATCTAAAAAACAAAACAAAACAAATCAATTGGATATAACCTGACAATAATCAAAGCATATTCACTATTTAACTAATTATAAAATACTGCCAAGCAGAGAAGAAAGTGTTGTAAAGAGAATTTCACTTTTTGAAAGTGGGTGGGGAAACACTGGCGATTGAACCCAGGAGTGCTCTACCACTGCACAACACCTCCAGCTCACTAGTTCTATCTACCTATCTATTTATTTATTTGGTACCGGGGATTTACTCAGGGATACTGGACCACTGAGCCACATCCCCAGCCCTATTTTGTATTTTATTTACAGTCAGGGTCTCACTGAGTTGTTTACTGCCTCACTGTTGCTGAGGCTGGCTTTGAACTCGCAATTCTCCTGTCTCAACCTCCTGAATCTCTGGGATTACAGGTATTTTTAAATTTTTTATTCTGAGAGAGCAAGTCTCCCAGTTGCTGAGGATGGCCTCTAACTTGCAATCCTCCAGTTTCAACCTCATAACTAGCTGGGATTATAGGTGTGTGTCACTGCATCTGGTAAGAACTACCTTCTTTAAAAAAAAAAAAAAAAACAGAAATCTTTGTTTTCATTTATCTAAATTTCCATTCTATCATTCATCTCTAAATAAAATTCATTACCTTTACCAGAAATCTTTCAAGTTCTCTTTAACATCTCTAAATACCATTTGTGATAATATAGGGAAATATAGTTTGTTTGTTGAAAGTCAAACTATAAACTTAGTTTAAATTCAAAAGTTGTGCAACTAATTATGTTCCAAGTTTTAAGTCAAGCAGAAGAGAGAATAAGCCACAACTGATACAAAATTCACTCCTATTAAGAATCAAAAATAACCACACATTTGGATATTTTCCCCTAATTTCCTTTTGGTAGAACAAGATTCTACATTTTAACTATTTATTACCTTCTAAGTTTAATTATTACTGTTTTCAGATGAAGTTTACATCAATTATTTCAAAGTACTAAACTCAACCAGGCACAGTGGTGCATACCATAAACCCAACTACTAAGTAGGCTAAGAAAGGAAGATTTGAAATTTGAGGCCAGCATGAGCAACTTAATGAGACCCTGTCTCAAAATAAAAAAAAAAAAAAAAAAAAAATGAAAAGGGCTGGGGACATAGCTTAGTGGTAGAGCACCCCTAAGTTCAATCCCCAGTACTAAAAGCAATAAATGAATAAGTAAGTAACCATACTTAACATTTACAATCCTTCTACTTATAAGTGATCCACACTTATAATCCTAGCTACTCAGGAGAGTGAGGCAGAAGTATTATTGAGCCCAGGAGTTTGAGGCCAGGCTTGGCAACAAAAGCAAGACCATGTCTCAAAAAAAAAAAAAAAAAAAAAAAAATCCTACTACTTCTACTAAATGACTGATAAGAAGACAAAGTCTAAGGTTAAATCACTGTATTTCACAATTATTTTAGAAACTTACAGTTTTCTACCAAACTAGAGAATAATACAACATGATAGAGAATAATACAACGTGATTGGGCTGGGGTTGTAGCTCAGTGGTAGAGCACTTGTCTCACACATGTGAAGTACTGGGTTCAATCTTTAGCACGACATAAAAAATAAAATAAAGGTACTCTGTCTACCTACAACTAAAAATATTTTTTAAAAAACCAATATGATTAATTTACACTTCTAAACAGCTACAAAACTGGTATCTTTACATCCTCAGTTTTGGAAAAATTCTCATAATTTTCTTTTCAATTAATGTATGACTTAAAAAACTCATTCACACACTTTGAGATTATTTACAAAATCAGCAATTACAACCTTCAAAACTTTGTCTTAATTATTTTCCATTCTTAGTATTACCTGTGCAAAAAAGAAATCAAGACACAATTTTCATTATGCCAAAGCTTTTACAGTAGGATTAAATTTACAATGAAGTCACTTTTGGTTCCATATGCCTCTTGCCTTTTGCTATTTTCAGAATGGGACACAGACATTTCTCTTTTGTCATTCTACCTTTAAGACATTACCCATGAGCTGTTAAAAGTCTGTTTTATTTCAGTCAACAGTAACAGCCATTCAGTATCATCCAGATCTGTTACCATGATTGTACTTAAAAAAAAAAAAAAAAAAAAAGCTTACAAAAAAAAAAATAGCTCAATTCCAGAGGGACTAGAAAGATTTACTCATTAAATCCTACTCTACAAACCACAAACCATACCTCTTATATCAGTAATTATTGTGATTCCTGGAATGGCAACTTATTAATTATGAAGAGAAATAACACATCTGTTTTTCAGAGAAACCTATTAAAAAGTATAAAGAAAGAATCTTGGGCAATATCCCAAACTAGCTGCTTTTATTTTTCCAGTTAAAATTTAAAATGCTCTTTCTAAAAAGTATCAACACAAGCTGGGGATGTGGCTCAGCGATAGATCGCTCACCTAGCACATGTGGGGTACTAGGTTTGATCCTCAAAACCACATAAAAATAAAGGTATTGTGTCCAACTACAACCAAAACAAAATATTTTTTAAAAAGAAGTATCAACACTTGTGGTTCTGAGAGACAGGGAAAGCAGCAAAATTTAAAAACCAAAGGTTTCATCTTAGTCAATATTTTTAGAAACTACTTACTAAATTTTTCTTAGTGGAAAAAAATGCTAAACCCACAGTGAGATATATTGGAAAAAATGGCAATTATTTCAAAGATATATAGCAATGGAAATTCTCACACACCACTGGTGGAAACATCATTTGGTAGAACCACTTTGGAAAGTTGGACTTTATTCTACCAAAGTTCAAGATTTCATTTTCTATGTCCTAGCAATTCTACCCTTGGATTTGTTTTATAGAAAAGCATGCTTATGTACAAAAGAATGTTCATAAGAATACTATTCATAATATCCTCAAACTGGAATAAAAACCTATCCATCTGCTATAGAATACATAAATGAACTAGAGTATTCATTCAATGAAACAATGAAAATGAACTGCTGCTACATGCAAGGATAGGGATGAATCTTGCGAAGAATTATACACATGACATCATTCAGATGAAACTCATGAACAGGCAAAAGTAAACTATTGTGATCAGGGCTAAACACTTCACTGGTAAATACGAAGGAAAGCTAGAAAACCGAGAGTGAGGAACAGGCCTGTAGTTCTGTGGGGAAGTGAAATGGGTATTTATTAGAAGGAGGCACAGGGAGTGGGCAACATTTTATGTTTTGATCTACATGATAATTACAAAGAAGGTGTAATAAGTCAGTGTACTTTTTACTTGGGGTAGAGAGCACTTTCCTCTAAGGATATAAATAGCAGGAAAGAAAACAATATTGATTATACAGCTTGGTCCCAAATGGCTGAGAGCAGAAAAGGTTCAATTAGAACTTTGAAGTGAGGGGAAAGGAGGATAAGAAAAAGAATGCTTTCTCTATTTCATAAAAGCTGAAAATTGCTACTAGATGTGAAATTTTTTTTTTCCGATTGAGGAAGCATCTATAATGGTGTTAGGTTCAAAAAGCCAAAACACCTGATTAGTCTGTTTAGTATAGGAGCAAACTGAAAAATCACCTGCACCTTATAGGGGAAGGCTTAGCAGTAGCAGTAGTATATCATGCCAAGCTTATACCACTCAGCATTTTTTCTCCCAGCTCATCAATTCTTCTTTGCAATGTAGTGGTGGGTTTAGAATTTTAAGTGGGAATGTTCCCTATTAATCTACTTATTTTGAGATGAAGCCTTCTATGTTGCCCAGGCTGGCCTGAAATTCCTAAACTCAGGCCATCATCATTCTGCCTCAATGTTCTGAATAGCTGGGACTATAGTGTGTGCCACCTGGCCTAATTTAGGTAGGCATGTTTAGGTGAGGAAAATGAAATATCTTCAGGAAGGAAAAGACACTGGAACTAAAGAATGCTTACTAATTAAGGTCAACAATAAATACTGATGGAATTATTAAAATAAGCATTTATTTTGCATTTACTACTTTCCAGATACCAAGTTACATGCTTTGCATATATTACCTCATTTAGTTCTCAAAACAACCCTTTGAAGTATACGATATATATATATATATATATTAGAATTAGAATTTTAATATTTATTTTTTTAGTTTTCGGCGGACACAACATCTTTGTTTGTATGTGGTGCTGAGGATTGAACCCGGGGCCGCACGCATGCCAGGCGAGCACGCTACCGCTTGAGCCATATCCCCAGCCCCTTAAGTATATGATATTAATTTGCTTATTTTATATCTCAATAAGCTAAGGCACAAACAGGTTAAGTAACCGGTACATACACACAGAGTTAGGAAATACAATGGTAGGATTTAAACTCAGGTCATCTGACACCAAATTCCATACCATAAAACCACAAAATTGTGGTATCCAGTACAGTAGCCATACATGCCTATGAAGCACATCTGTTATGGTTTAGATGTTAGATGTCTCCCAAAAGTTGATGTGTGAGACAATACCCATCATATACTCAGAGGTGAAATGACTGGGTTATGAGAGTCTTAACCCAATCAGTGAATTAATCCCCTGATAGGGATTAACTGAGTGGTAACTGAAGGCAAGCAAGCTGTGACTGGAGGAGGTGGGGGTCACTGGGGTGTGCCATTGGGGTACACATTTTGTATCTGGCAAGTGGAGTCTCTCTCCCTGTCCTTGGTGGCCGTGTCCTAACCTGCCTTCCTCCACCATGCTGTTCCACCATGATGTTCTGCCTCACCTTGAGCCAGGAGAAATGGACTGACTAAGGACTGAGACCTATAAATCCATGAGTCCTCAAATAAACTTTTCCTTCTCTAAAATTGTTCTTGTCAGATCTTTCAGTCATACAGCAAAAAAAAAAAAAAAAAAAAAAAATCGAAAACAACATGAAATGTGCTGTTAAGTGTAAAATGCACAGT